GTTTCCCAACGGATGTTTAGATTTCGTACAGCCAGACCATACATTGATGTACCTATGTTTCCCAACTGATGTTTAGATTTCGTACATCCAGACCATACATTGATGTACCTATGTTTCCCAACGGATGTTTAGATTTTTTACAGCCAGACCATACATTGATGCACCTATGTTTCCCAACGGATGTTTAGATTTTTTACAGCCAGACCATACATTGATGTACCTATGTTTCCCAACGGATGTTTAGATTTTTTACAGCCAGACCATAGATTGATGCACCTATGTTTCCCAACGGATGTTTAGATTTTGTACATCCAGACCATAGATTGATGCACCTATGTTTCCCAACTGATGTTTAGATTTTTTACATCCAGACCATAGAGTGTGACACAGGGGTCGGTACTAGTAATCGTGATGACGGAGTTAATCCTGACTGTGTTACCAAGGAAATCCACTGTGTCAGACTAAGAAACAGAATGCGAATAGGAACGTGGAATGTGAGAAGTCTGTATGAAGGAAAGCTTAAAGTAGTATGTGATGAGATTGAAAGATTAAATATTCAGATCTTAGGAATTTGTGAACATCGTTGGAGTGGCAAGGGACATTTTATCAATGAATATGGAAGCTTTTTCGTATATTCTGGTAGAGATGTAAGAGGCCAGAGCGGAGTGGCATTTTGTTTAGATAAAACAACAGCAAAAGCTATTATGGGATATAATCCAGTTAGTGATAGAATCCTAACTATCAGACTTAAAGGCCGTCCAAAAAACATAACTTTCATGCAGGTATATGCACCAACTTCAACAGCAGAGGAGGGCGAAATTGAAGATTTTTATGCCATACTGCAAGACACATTAAATAAAATTAATCAGAATGATATAATAATAATAATGGGAGATTTTAATGCTAAAGTAGGTACAGGCAGAGATGAAAATGAGAGACACGTTTTAGGAAAATTTGGATTGGGTAATAGAAATGAAACAGGAGAAAAATTGATTGAATTTTACATAGAAAATGAATTAACAATAGCTAACACACTTTATAAACAACACCCTAGAAGGCTTTTCACATGGACATCCCCTGACGGTGTTACCAAAAATCAGATAGATTACATTTTAATACAAAGAAGATGGAGAACGAGCATAACATCTGCAAAAACCCTGCGAAGTGCAGATTGCGATACAGATCATCAGTTACTAGAAGCAGATCTAAAATTAAAACTCAAAAAGCTTACCCGAGGACCAAGGCCATTTCGATTTGATCTCACAAAAATACCAGATGCATACAACGTAGAAGTGAAGAACCGTTTTGAGGTCTTGATGTCTGTACAAGAGGAAATGACACCTGATGAACTGGCGGTACAAGCTAGGGATATCTTGATAACAGCAGCTAAAGACTTAATACCCACCAGGACTAAGCAACATAAACCATGGATCACACCATACACGTTAGAACTAATAAAACAACGAAGAGAACTGAAAAAGAAAGGAGAAACCAATGATAGTAGGATGAAGTATAAATTTTTTACACGAGAAATAAGAAAGTACACAAGAAAGGATAAAAATCAGTATGTACAAGATTGCTGTATTAAAATAGAGCAGCATCACAAAAATGGAAGAGATTACGAAATGTTCAAGGAAATGAAGTTATTGACAAGAAATTTTCAACCTCAGTTAAATGTTATTTGTGACAGGTTTGGAAATACTTTAACAGAATCTAGACAAATTCTAGGAAGATGGCAGGAATACTGCAGCGGAATGTATGATATGAATGACAGTGAGGATATGAATGATATACATGAACCAGTAACAGTAGAGGCAGAACCTGAACCTTCATTAGATGAAATTTCATGGGCAATAAGGAGCCTGAAAAATGGTAAATCACCTGGATGTGATGAGATACCAGCTGAATTGATTAAAGCGGGAGGAGAAGAAAGCATAAAAATCTATCATGCATTATGTGAAAAGATATGGAAATATGGTATTTGGCCAAAAGACTGGAAGAGAACTATCTTCATTCCAATACCAAAAAAGGGTGACCTGAAATTATGTACAAACTATCGAACTATTGCCCTGATCAGTCATGCAAGTAAAATTCTACTAAAAATTATAATGAGAAGACTGCAAAAGAAAATGGAAGAAGAGATTAATGTAGCTCAGGCTGGATTTAGACAGGGAAGAGGAACAAGAGATCATATATTCAACCTGCGTTTAATAATAGAGAAGTGTAGAGAATTTAATGTAAATCTGTTCTTATGTTTTGTGGATTATTCAAAAGCATTTGACTGTGTACAACATCAGAAGCTTTGGGAAATCATGAGGAATATGGGCTTTCCATCACATATAGTGCAGCTCATTAAAATGCTCTATCAAGACCAACAAGCAGCAGTCAGAATAGATGGAGAGACATCAGACTGGTTTGGCATCAAGCAAGGAGTCCGTCAGGGATGTGTGCTGTCACCGTATTTGTTCAACCTGTACGCCGAAAATATAATGAGAAATGTAAGAGATGATATAAACAAGGAACAATATGATGCCCTAAACATCGGTGGTCATGAAATACCAGAAATTCGTTATGCTGATGATACAGTATTACTATCAACATCACAAAATGGTTTAGAAAACTTATTAACCTCACTCCAAAGAAATAGTGAAAATCATAACTTATTTCTTAACACAGCAAAAACAAAGATAATGCATACAAACAAAACTGCCATGGAGAAGGAAATATATGTTAATGAGGAAAGATTGGAAGTGGTGGAAAATTTCGAATATCTTGGGTCACTGGTTACCAACAATGGTGACACAATGAAAGAAATTAAACGGCGACTATCAATTGCTCTTCAAAGACTAAAACAACTGAATAAATTATGGAATTGTACAGATAGAATTACAAAGGTCAGATTTTTAAGAGCATGCATCTTTCCCATTGCAACATACGCCTGTGAGACCTGGACACTTACTAAACAAGCGGAACAGCGCATAAATGCATTTGAATATAAATGTTACAGACAGGTTCTAAGAATATCTTGGGTAAAGAAAAGAACAAATGCATCCATACTTCAAGAGCTGAATATTGAAGAGGGTTGGCTAGTAAAGACAATAAAACAAAGAAAATTGAAATATTTTGGTCACTTGAAACGTCATGGAGGTCTAGAGAGAACAATAATGGAGGGGTATATGCCTGGGAAGAGAGGAAGAGGAAGGCCAAGGAGAAGATGGGTGCAGGATGTGGCAGATGATCTCCAGATGGGTGTATCAGACGCAGGACATCTTGCTCATGATAGGAAGGTTTTCCGGAGGGTTGTTATGGCAGCGAGGTTCCGCGAGGGACATGCTACTGAATGAATGAATGAATGACCATAGATTGATGTACCTATGTTTCCCAACGGATGTTTAGATTTCGTACATCCAGACCATATATTGATGTACCTATGTTTCCCAACGGATGTTTAGATTTTTTACATCCAGACCATAGATTGATGCACCTATGTTTCCCAACGGATGTTTAGATTTCGTACATCCAGACCATACATTGATGTACCTATGTTTCCCAACGGATGTTTAGATTTCGTACATCCAGACCATAGATTGATGTACCTATGTTTCCCAACGGATGTTTAGATTTCGTACATCCAGACCATACATTGATGTACCTATGTTTCCCAACTGATGTTTAGATTTCGTACATCCAGACCATAGATTGAGTGTGAAAGGGTAAAAGTTTGATGCACCGGTCTCTGCTCAGAGCACACTGCTGCTCCACTTTGCATTTTTTGTGTATCATTTCATTTATTTTATTGGGTACACAAAAAAATAACAGTGCAGACTGCAGAAGGAAATCTTAGATGTGGTCAATTTCTACTGTGAAGAAGTTTGTTTATCTTTGTCAATTTTCCTTGGTTGACCAAAAAATGTCAGGCTAAGCGGAATCTGATTCGGAATTGTTGTGGAACGATTAAACATGCCCTGACTAAATATCTGCATAAGTCAACAACTTCAAATACCTGGACATTTGTACGCATTTTCTCATTTCTGTTGGATTGAAAGAGACATGGACCGAACATTTTATGAACTCAGATACCGAGGTACAGTGGAAAATTAGAGAATTTTCTATTGAAGACTACACAAATTCTACAGATAATGATATCAAGAAAAGATATAAAACCAAATAAAAAAAGATAATGATGGCTTTGGGTTAACGGTACAAACTATTTCACATTTAGACGTTTCAGATTGCATATGTTTAATGCAGGCTGAATGCAAAGATGATTTCATTCATCATTCCTTTTCAATTAAAGAACCTTGTTGTCTAATGGGTTATTGTTGCTGTTGTCTGGTGTGTTATTGTTGCGGCTGTCTGATGTGTTATATTGTTGCTGCTGTCTGATGTGTTATCGTTATTGCTGTTTAGAGTGTTATTGTTGCAGTTGTCTGATGTGTTACTGTTACTGTTGTCTTTTATGTTATTGTTGCTGCTGTCTAATGTGTTATTGTTCTTGTTATCTGGTGTGTTATTGTTGCTGCACTCAGATGTGTTATTGTTGTCTGGTTTGTTTGTTGCTGCTGACCTATATGTGATTGTTTTTGCTGTCTGGTGTGTTATTGCTGTTGTTGTCTGGTGTTTTATTGTTGCTGCTGTGTAATGTGTTATTGTTGTTGTTATCTGGTGTGTTGTTGTTCTTCTTGTCTGGTGTGTTATTGTTGCTTTTGTCTAATGTGTTATTGTTGCTGTTGGCTGGTGTGTTTTTGTTGCTTCTGTTTGGTGTGTTTTTGTTACTGCTCTCTGGTGTAGTATTGTTTTTGCTGTATTGTGTGTTTTTATTACCATTGTCTGGTGTGTTATTGTTGCTGTTGTCTGATGTTTTATTGTTGTTACTTTCTGATGTTTTATTGTTGCTGTTGTCTGTGTATCATTATTGTTGTTGTCGGATGTGTTATTGTTTCTGTTCCGTGGTTTTGTTGTCTGTGTGACCAAGTTTCTGCTTTGTTTCTCCTGACCAGGTGGCAAGCTACTCTGACATGCCCAACGGTGGTCACCCTTATGGAAGCAGCAATATCTACCCTGTCAGCAACCAGCAGCAGATACGGGCCTCACCGCAGCCACCTAGGTCTCTGTCTCCCCCAGATTACTCCCCGCCAGGTGTCATTGGTGTGGCTGGGGACAGTAATCATTATGAGCGAGAGTCACCCTATCACAATCTGCCCCCATATCAAGAGTCGGTTGGTGGTGGTGGTGGCCAGTATTATGACGACAGGGATGAGTTTGTGCCTGGGGACCCTCGCTCAGATGATTTCCTGCCACCTCAACCAACTCATCCTTACGCTGATGGAGATTTGCATGCAGGCTATGGGCAAAGGTAGATAGTCACTAGGCAGTCATTGCTGAGCTTGTGGCAGCCTCCACGTTGGTGGTCCTGTAACAGTTTAAGTCAAGTGCACACGTCTCATGTTACCATTAGCTGTGTGGTCTCGTATAGATGTGCTGGAGTCAGCTGTGTGGTCTCGTATAGATGTGCTGGAGTCAGCTGTGTGGTCTCGTATAGATGTGCTGGAGTCAGCTGTGTGGTCTCGTATAGATGTGCTGGAGTCAGCTGTGTGGTCTGGTATAGATGGGCTGGAGTCAGCTGTGTGGTCTGGTATAGATGGGCTGGAGTCAGCTGTGTGGTCTTGTATAGATGTGCTTGAGTCAGCTGTGTGGTCTTGTATAGATGTGCTGGAGTCAGCTGTGTGGTCTCGTATAGATGTGCTTGAGTCAGCTGTGTGGTCTTGTATAGATGTGCTTGAGTCAGCTGTGTGGTCATGTATAGATGTGCTGGAGTCAGCTGTGTGGTCTCGTATAGATGTGCTTGAGTCAGCTGTGTGGTCTTGTATAGATGTGCTGGAGTCAGCTGTGTGGTCTTGTATAGATGTGCTTGAGTCAGCTGTGTGGTCTTGTATAGATGTGCTGGAGTCAGCTCTGTGGTCTGGTATAGATGGGCTGGAGTCAGCTGTGTGGTCTGGTATAGATGGGCTGGAGTCAGCTGTGTGGTCTGGTATAGATGGGCTTGAGTCAGCTGTGTGGTCTTGTATAGATGTGCTGGAGTCAGCTCTGTGGTCTGGTATAGATGGGCTGGAGTCAGCTGTGTGGTCTGGTATAGATGGGCTGGAGTCAGCTGTATGGTCTGGTATAGATGGGCTTGAGTCAGCTGTGTGGTCTTGTATAGATGTGCTGGAGTCAGCTCTGTGGTCTGGTATAGATGGGCTGGAGTCAGCTGTGTGGTCTGGTATAGATGGGCTGGAGTCAGCTGTATGGTCTGGTATAGATGGGCTGGAGTCAGCTGTATGGTCTGGTATAGGTGGGCTGGAGTCAGCTGTGTGGTCTGGTATAGATGGGCTGGAGTCAGCTGTGTGGTCATGTATAGATGTGCTTGAGTCAGCTGTGTGGTCTCGTATAGATGTGCCTGAGTCAGCTCTGTGGTCTGGTATAGATGGGCTGGAGTCAGCTGTGGGGTCTTGTATAGATGGGCTGGAGGCAGCTGTGTGGTCTTGTATAGATGGGCTGGAGTCAGTTGTGGGGTCTAGTATAGATGGGCTAGGGTCAGCTGTGTGGTCTTGTATAGATGGGCTGGAGTCAGTTGTGGGGTCTTGTATAGATGGGCTAGGGTCAGCTGTGTGGTCTGGTAAATAGATGGACTGGAGTTAGCTGTGTGGTCTGGTATAGATGGGGCTAGGGTCAGCTGTGTGGTCTCGTATAAATGGGCTGGGGTCAACTGTGTGGTCTAGTAAAGATGGGCTGGGGTCAGCTGCTAAGTCTATAATAAAGGGACTTGTGTCAGATATGTTGTCTGAGATACGTCTAAGCAGTGAAATCACTAATGATCGTGTGACACTCACAGGCTGTTATTATTTTCTAGACATTTATGTCCTGACATTCTAGAATGCTCTCCCGCTGAGCACAGGCTGCTGCAAGCTCACAAGCCATTACTAACCTTGTGTTAATCTTTTATGATCCCATGTAATCACTTGTGTGTGTGTGTGTGTGTGTGTGTGCACACGCGCGCGTCGCGCGTGGGGGGGGGGAGGGGTAACAAAATCTTCTATGATCCCATGTAATCACTTGTGTGTGTGTGTGTGTGGTAACAAAATCAAAAGCTTTCTCTATACACCAGAATGTCTCTTAGTGTCGGTATACACAGTCATTTGTTTGTCTTGTCCCCCATGTACATGTAGCATTAACTTCAAACCTGTTCCAATGGCTTTATTACAAAAGCATCAAAGAAACATGAATAGATGGGCCAGAATTAAACAGAGCATTTATTTTGAATGATTATGCAGCATGGATTAGTCAGTAAACATTGCTTTAAGGCATTAGGCAAGCACCCCGTTGTTTAGGTAGTCGGTAAATGCCATCTACAAAAAGGGATTGTGGTTGCTTGCTGAGCCAAAGTGTTAACTGCATTCATTACATCTACATTTGTGTGAAATCGTTGCCCCTTTAGGGCTAATTTATAGGAGATCCCGAACAAAATAACAATCACATGCTGACAAATCAGACCTATAGGCTGGATGTTACAGACTTTCCAGTTCTTCTGTACTTAATGTTTTCTGCACAGTCTTTGCAACATGAGGACAAGCATTATCATGCAACAAATCACACCATAAGAAAACAGGCCAGGACATTTGATGGCTTTATGCAGCTTGTCTGTTGAGGAGGAGTCGAGTTGATGTTGACATCAGGTTCTTTAAAGTCTGCCATCGATAGCACTTCATGGTTACACAAAAACGATTCAAAGAGCTTGCATTACATGCTTTCTTTTTTGCTATTCTGCCTAAAGTGATGGCACCATGATTCACTATCGATTCACCATTATGTGGAAGAAAAATACATTGCTCTCTGCTTTATAACATAACAAGTTGTTCATACATCTTTGTAACAGAGCAAGTGGTTCATACATCATCCCATGCGTACCTTCTTTTAGTGTTCAGTGAATGTCATAAACATGCTTACTGCCTTTAATGGCAACGGCTCATTGGCAGCGCTATAACAATGAAATCTATCCTCACTACAAACCTGCTGGACAGTGTCAGAACACACACATCGGCCTTTAATGAGCCTAGCCCCAGACGTGGTTCGAATTACAATCCTACGCCAACCGACCCAAGTGCTTTTAAATCGCAACTCACACACTAGCCATCCAGTTGTAACTAGGTCCAAACCAACAGCCTCCAATCCAAAACTCTTTTGTGCACCTTTCCAAGCTACGCCATGACTGGTGCGTGACAGCACAACTCTATTGAATGTGATCGGACGCCGCCGGGCTGAGTTGCCTGAATAGAATACTCATGACATCATCATATTATTATTCTTCAACTGGCAAAGCCCCTTCTCAAACCAGCTTGCTGATATACAGATACTCATGGAGTCAATAATACTTCAACCAGCTAACACTACTCAAGTGGAACTATTACTTCAGAACACCAAGTTAAACTACCTATTTCTAATCACACATAAATTCTAACACCGTCACACAAGTATTCAACATTTTCTAAACAGTCGCTACGTTGGGAACTCCAATCAGCTATGAAAAACCTAGCTGTCGAAACAACACATCTTGGTCACACAGTCTCTGCTCAATCCATTTTTTCCGTTTCACTTGTTCATTGTGCAGTCAGTCCACTCCCCTGTGAGTCTGGAGTCTTCACTCGTCCATCATGTTCTTGTCGGAAACTCCTGTGGGCTGTTGAACGAGTAGTCACTAAGCGGTCATCTAAGTGCTAATCGCCCATTCACTATCATCACCTACATTTGTCCGATAGCCTCAACGGCCATTAATAGGGAACTTGCACTGTATGCACTGTGAACACACCCTTCAATTTTCAGTTTCTCAGGAACAGCTTTTTGAACTGACCCAATTAAAATTTGGGATTCGTTCGCTTGCTAACATACGCTTCAACAGCAGTTCACCTGTAATGCTGCATCAGTTTGCCAGTGTTTTTTATCTCTGTTGCAACAATTTGCACTTGACCTGGCTGTGGAGGATCTGTGGCAAACTCACTTCCTCATGAAACATTCATGCCTAGTCTGTCACTGTTGTCTTCGACACACATTTGTTACCATATGCTGTCTGCATTCTTTGATGAATAGAAACCTGTTGACATCCTTCACACATGAAAGAAACTGAGTCTCTGCTCTTTGGGCTACCTTGAACAGATTTGGCATTACCCAGGCCAGTTTGTCAATGATGATAAAAGTGTGCTCTTTTATTCTGTGGTCAGCACTTGTCACATGATGACGTGGTCAGCACTTGTCACATGATGACGTGATAATTTTCAATGCATGCAGTTATATGTGATGCGGCGCTGACGGGTTTAAAATGAATGCTGCTAATACATATACTAGCTGACTGATTCATGTCCACACACCTGTTTCTCTTCTTCTAGTGAGAACTGAGTATGTTGCTTATGTTGAACACTCAGGCTGCTTCTGTCTCTCACAAAACACCTAACACTAGCACAGTTGTGATTGCTTCACTCACATCACATATAACCACTTGTACAATTGTGATTGCTTCACTTACATCACATATAACCACTTGTACAGTTGTAATTGCTACACTCATATCACATATAACCACTTGTACAGTTGTAATTGCTACACTCACATCACATATAACCACTTGTACAGTTGTGATTGCTACACTCACATCACATATAACCACTTGTACAGTTGTGATTGCTTCACTTACATCACATATAACCACTTGTACAGTTGTGATTGCTACACTCACATCACATATAACCACTTGTACAGTTGTGATTGCTTCACTTACATCACATATAACCACTGGTACAGTTGTGATTGCTTCACTTACATCACATATAACCACTTGTACAGTTGTGATTGCTACACTCACATCACATGTAACCACTTGTACAGTTGTGATTGCTACACTCACATCACATATAACCACTTGTTCAGTTGTGATTGCTTCACTCACATCACATATAACCACTTGTACAGTTGTGATTGCTTCACTCACATCACATATAACCACTTGTACAGTTGTGATTGCTTCACTTACATAACATATAACCACTTGTACAGTTGTGATTGCTACACTCACATCACATATAACCACTTGTACAGTTGTGATTGCTTCACTCACATCACATATAACCACTTGTACAGTTGTAATTGCTACACTCACATCACATATAACCACTTGTACAGTTGTGATTGCTACACTCACATCACATATAACCACTTGTACAGTTGTAATTGCTTCACTTACATCACATATAACCACTTGTACAGTTGTGATTGCTTCACTTACATCACATATAACCACTTGTACAGTTGTAATTGCTACACTCACAT